GCAGATGAGGCTGCAGGTGCTGATCCAACTGAAGAGTGATAGTGTGACCCAGTGTTTTGAAGAAGCTGTTAAGCACGTGAAATCTAAGGTCTGTGCTGTTTTTTTGGACTTGCACGCTAGTCTTGGGCTGGAAAACTGATACTTATTTGAGGTAGTGGGTTTTTTTCCTTCACAAGACATTCAAAGTCCTGAAATGTTTTTATGGTCAAAAATAAGAACTTGACATTTCACATGCACATTGCATTCCAAAGCATTGGGGAATTGTAAATTCATTTCAAATTCACACCTATAAAATCTGCTCGCAGATGATGTTTTGCATACTTTGTGGCAGTCAGCTGGTATTCTTTGTGTCTTGCTTGAAAAATGTGTTTCCTTTTCTTCGCTGTTCTGAGATATTTGTGTGTGTGGTATTTGAGGCCTTGAGTTAGCTATGTACTCTCTCACTGTTCAATTTCAAACCCTGGGCACAAGGAGTGAGGAGAGCAAACAAGGAGGTGATTGTTTCTTTCCTCCTTGTTCTTGGAAGTTACCTTTGTACTGCAGTGTTTGGTGATGCAGAAGTACTTGTCTCTCATCTGTGCCAACCTGTCTTGCAGCTGTCCAGCTAAGTAGTATTTGTCCTTTAAGTGAGGAAGGAAACATGAAGTGATTTCGGTGTGCAGTCCAAAGTTGTCTAAGAGCTATGTCTAAAGGATGTTTTTTACAGCATCTGTAATACAGAACCTGGTGGATGTGTTGCTGTCAGTTTCTATAAATCAGAGTCGCTGTATTTCAGTCATTTGATTTATCTGTTTACTTTGTAGGGCACTTTGCCATTATGGGCCCTCTGGGTGGAATGGAGTGAAGGCACAAACAGCAAGGAAGACACAGATGCTCTCTACCAGGTACTTAACTAATAGAAACCGATTTTTGATGACAGTGTGTAAATACACGGGAACAGTGCACATGGATGGAATGTGTAGCAAATGCTTTACACTGCAGTTCCTTCATGGGCGTGTTGATATCAAAGGATTTCAAGTAAAACTCTGTTACCAAAAATCAATTGGATGTAGGCTCATGCACAAATGTCCCCATGCTTCTAAGACATCTTGATGTTTGTAAGCACAACCAATGATGGACTCTTCTTTTACTTCACAGTCTAGAAATTGTGCTCTATTTTCAGATGTCTGTCTGAAGATGGAAAAGAGAATTTTTCAATCTGTGTGAAAAGAACTTTGTTAAAGAAAACTCAAGATGAAAACTGGGCTTTTAATCTCACTGTAAATTCCTTAAATAGTTTAGGGCAAAACATTTTCTCTTTGCCTACAATGTTGGGTTTTGGGGTGGTTTTTCTCCATATTTACAACATAAAGCACGTATTTCAGGTGGAAGCTTGAATTCAGTTGTTTGTAGAGCATTGTGAAACCCTCTGCATGAACGATATTAGGGAAATGCCAATGGCCAGCTGTAGGGACTATTGGAGAAGGCATGTATTTTAGGTTACAACCTAAATACAATATTTTAATGTGAAAAGTATTGGATGTGTTATCTACTAGATGATCTCCAAGGTCCTTTCCAACCTAGATGATTCTGTAATGCAGTCTTTCAGACATCATTTGTGATGCTTTTGTCCAGTATTTTTTCTCACTTATGAGATCTGCTTTATGTCAGGTACCTAATTAGGGAAAAGGTACTATTTGGTTTCTTCTCCCTTGTTGCCTTTTAATTGTAAATTATGTGGTTTGTTTGTTTGTGTTTGGTTTTTTTTTCTCTTTTAATCTTGCAGAGATCCTTATGTGCCACAACTCCTGCTGAATCTGTGACTATGAAAGAAATGTATCTTGACTGGACTTACAGAATTGGTGGTTATAAGAAAGTTAAAAGAGTCTTTACCAGGTGACAAATAAAACCTTCAAACCTGATTGTTCTAGGGCGCATATCAAAAAGGCTTGACTTCTAAAGTTACTTATGTTTTTACTTCAGCCTGTGTGAAAATCGTCCATTTTCACTTGACTTCTTCAGGAAGATGATCCAAATAGAAAAGGAGCAAGTAAGTTGTTGAATATCCAATTAGTGCCTTGTATTTGCAAAATAGATTTCTAACTTTGGATTTAAATAGGAAACAGAGGGCTTATGAGTAGTGTCATTAGTTTGTGCTCTGTTCATATTTGTCTTTTAAAGTTGATTCATAGCATGTAATACAAAAACAAGTTCCATGGTAACTAATCTTTGGCAGTGTGCATGTGTGCGTGTAATTACCATGACTCTTTTTCTTTGTAAGAATGTAATCAAGCTGCAGATTCACTTCTGTACAAAATAAATGGCCTTTTAATACCTTCCTTTGTTAGGAATCCTGCAAAATGCTTCATCTGAGAGAATACTATGAACGTGCTTTGAGAGAGTTTGGTTCAACAGATTCTGGTAAGAGGATTTTATTTATTTATTCATTCATTCAGTGCTGCCTCTTTTATTTCCATCCATTTCAAAAGGTAACTGTTTGTTCTGCCCTTGTGATTGCTGTCATGCAGAGTGGAACTTACTTTTTTCTGTGGCATTAAGTGCAGAACACTCTGCAGTGACCCTTCACTTTCAGTCCAGGGTTGTTGTGCACAGTGGGATGGCTTCTGGACTACTAGCAAGTAAGGTTTTGACACTGGCCTAAGAGATGCACATCCCCTTTAATTTGAATTTGCAGACAGTATGGAGGTGTTTATGATCAAGATTTCTTCAGAATTCCTTTTGAGAAAGTAAACAGCTCAATTATTGCTACATTACTTAAGACATCACTGTTCTAGCTGGGAATAGAATCCAGGCTTTGGGTCCTCAAGGGCAGGTGGTTGTAGTTTAACAAAGTAAACCTCATTGTGTTAACATCAAGGAACCTTACAAAAGTAGAGTTTCTATGGTTAGGTTTGGTATGTTTGTTAAGTAATATTTAATAAAAATCTAACCGGAATTTCTATTTTTCTTTTAAAGATCTCTGGCTGGATTATATCAAAGAGGAGCTAAGTCATCCCCAAGGCAAACCAGAAAACTGTGGGAGCATTCACTGGCGAGCTATGAAGATGTTGCAGGGAGACCTGGTGGAAGAGTTTATTTCCAAATACACTTTACTGCAAACTGGACATTTATGAAAAACTATAAATAGTTAAAATAGTCAAAGTGCACACTTTTTTTAAACTTTTGTATAAAGGTAAATATGTTTCTGGATCTTATTAAAGTGTACCTTCTTTACATCCTTGCATATGTGAAAAAGAGTAATCATCTGCCCTATTGCAGTTGTTTCTAGTGTTGCTTCTGCCAGGGGCAAGTTCAAGTGCACAGTTAGAGGAGAAAGCAAAGGTGTTTCTGAGTGTTCTTCACTTAGACTTATGAGAGTAAACTCTTCCTCCTGCCTGAATGTTCAGATGGAATAGTCATAATATATCAGCTTTTACACTGTGGAAAGCTAGTATTACAGCACCTAAATGCAAAAAACCCCTCCATGGAAATCACCTGTGGGAGACCTTTGTATCTTACTATACTACTGAATAATGAAAAGTGAAATACTGGAGAAATAATTTGTAAAATTATGGTATTTATCGTTTCCTAGTCTTGAAGTCATCTGTAATCCTCTTCAAAAACACCAACTTCTCTGCCTGCCTCACTCATGTTTGTATCCGAAGCTCTAATTCTGAGAGTGACTGAAGTGTTGAGATCTGGGTATTGAAGTGTTGAGATACGGGTAATAGTTGTTGGAGACAGTGGTGTCCTTGGCTGTTTATAGAGCCACATTTTCCTGTGTCAAACCTGTTAAATCAGCATAAATGCTATTCTCAGACCAAGAGAGCATGCCTAAGCAAAATATAGGAACATGCAGCAGTAGTTCCTTTATCTAATTTCCCAGTGACTGGGTGGTGCTATGACAATACAGAAAAATAGTTGCTTAAGATTTTTTTGCACAAGTAGAAACTGCACCTTCTGTGAAGAACTTCCCCCAACTTCTGAATATCTGGAAACAAGATTTGGAGCAATAGCCTGTTAAATTGCTCCTTCTGTGACATCTGAAGTACATCCTACTTTGCCTTTCCCAAGCTTTTAGCCAGGCCGTCTTTGATCTTCCCACTAGTTCTCAGCTGTCTTGCACCTGGTGTCATGCTTTCCCCCCATAACTGTTCCTCTCTGCCCTTTGTTATGTTAGTTCCCTCCCCTGAATTGTTCATCTTGCTGCTGGTATTACACAACAAAGCTTTTAAGCACAAAATTTAGGTTTGGGAGATTTTGTTTTGGGTTTTTTTTGTTTTGTTTTTCTGAGTCCAGCAAAGCTCATGACCACCACTTTGAAGTGGGCCCTTTTTCTTTACCTGTCCTGGTTCATTGCAGAATTTTGCCACTCTGCCTGCAGCACCTGTTTCTAGAGCCCCATCCCGGTCTGTTTGGCACAGGTGCTTCCCATCTCTTAATGCTTTCTCTGAGCATGCTTCTAGCACAAGCTCTGAAGGAGATGGTTATCTTTTGGCAAGATTAAAAAGCTGGAGAGCCTGGAGAGGTATTGATATTTTATTTACAACTTTGAGTGCAAATGTGTTTTCTTACTCTCTTGACTGTATTTCTCCACCTTTTTTCCTAGTTGTTTTAACTGCTTGTTTCTGCCCTCGTCTCGGATTGTTATTCTTTCTCACTAGACACAGTTTTCAGTAGCAACTGATGAAGTTAGGCGTTCGAAAATCAGAGACGGCGGGGGTCTGGCAGGTTGGGAGGGACGCGGGAGCTCGCACCGAGGCCGAAGGGAGAGACGCTGCCGCTCGCCATGCGGGCGCCTCCTTTCCAGCCGCTTTCACGACCGGTGTCGTGCCGAGCTCCGAGGCACAACCAGCCCGTCCAGCGGCCGCCCTTCCTCGGAGCCTGCCGGTGCCCTCGGGGCCGGGCGGCCGGAGCAGCGTCTCCTCACGG